TTTCGAAATTGAGATTTATACATCATCTGAAAGCTGAATAAATAAGCTTTCCATTGATCTATTTGAAAATATGGAATCTGAGGGTGCAAAAAAAATCTAAATATTGAGAAAATCGCCTTTAAAGTTGTCCAAATTAAGTTCTTAGCAATGCATATTGCTAATCAAAAATTAAGTTTGAATAAATTTACAGTAGGAAATTTACAAAATATCTTCATGGAACATGATCTTTACTTAATATCCTAATGATTTTTGGCATAAAAGAAAAATCAATAATTTAGACCCATACAATGTATTGTTGGCTATTGCTATAAATATATCCCAGCGACTTAAGACTGGTTTTGTGGTCCAGGGTCACATATGTATGTTAATTGCATAACTTCCTGGGACCCAGGCATTTACTTCTGTCCTCTGTAGAATACATTATATTTTAGCAAATTTCTCTGAGACCATACATGCCACATTTTGGACTCTGGATGTCCTGTACAGAGCACATTCAGGGATTTTCAGAGATAACAATTGTTTGGAGGTTGGATCATTAACACTTCCTCCCCCTGGTCTTTAAAAATGTCTGATATTGACCGAATGATCAAATTTTGCACTCTTTTGGAAATATGACAATATTTTGTAATTATCATTTAAATCTGACTAATTTTCAAAGGGTTTGTCATGAATGAACATCTCAGGACAACTTTTGTGGGGTTTCAAAGCAGAATATGACATGCATCAGTTTCATACATGTCCACTGTAGTGGACACCAGGATATACTTATACTTATATAGACATAATAAGTGAATATGGAAAGAAATTGTATATCAATAGGTCTATGAAATATGAGATGTTATCCGAAAAGTTTATTACTCTCATTATTATGCTTCTTTTTTTTTCATTGCATGTTGCCCAAAGATCACATTAATATGCAAATTAGAGACAATTAATAGATACATTGATTATAATAGGAAACACAATATTTGGCCATGTTTATGCACATATTGTGTAAAATAAAACAGTGTATCAAAATCATTCTCTAATATCTTTCATACCATAGTTGAGAATCTTTGTAACATATACATGTTGTAGTAAAATATAAATATTGTCTAAATATCTTTTACCAACAAAAACATTGTTCTGGTAATACATAAGGCATATCATATATATATATATATATATATATATATATATATATATAATTTTATATATTGTGATGAACGAACAATAAACAATTTTTGCAAAATCTTTGTTAATTTATACATATATTGATGTATTTTTACATTTACAGTTGTATAAATTAATATTAATGTATACTGAACAAACATGGTTTAACATTGAAAAATAATTAATTTATAAATGAACAACTGCTATAAAATGTTGTTTATTGTTTGTTCAAGATCTCTGTATGGAATGGAACCATATTTTAATAATTTAAATTATAAGTCTCTGAGTCAGAGGTCAGCAAACTGTTACCAAACAATATTAGATTTTGCCTTCGACAAAACTTTTTGGATCCTGTTTAAGGGTTGCATTCGAGCTTCAATTAATAGAAATATTTTGGGTCCAGTTACCAAAGTTGAGCTCAAACTGCACCATTTTTGGCATAATGTTGATTACAACAGCAAATAATTTTTCTTGTACCTAAGTTCGTAAAATTAAAATAAATGCAGTAACTGTTATGCACTTACAATGGTAGTCAACTGGGCAAGTGACCATTGTAAGTACCTTTCTGTATGTTTTGTCTGTTTTTAAAAACTGAGTCGATAGTAGGAGTACAGTGTTTACATTTTTCCACATTTCCAATTCTTTGCTTTGCACTGATAATCAGCATTATATACATACTGACTGTTATTCATTTAGATTTCTTACAGTTATGCATGATGTTTCATAAAGTATGTTTCTTACAGTTATGCATAGCACAAAATCTAATTAAAACAACTTTGTGATGTAAATCAGATGGTATTGTAAATGCTTCTGATTATAAAATGTACAACGGAACAAGAACGCCGATCAGGAACACATTATCATATTGTCACTAAAGATGAGACCAATTACGACATCAGACTAACCCACATGGCTGTTTGAAGCAATTATCACACAAGAATGACACAGTACCATTGTGAGCATGAATGCTCGCTTTTTACTCTAGGAGAATAAAACAGCAAACTGTACACAAAGAATTCACGGATTATCACCCATTTGGTGCACTAAATCAGTGAAAAACAGCATTAAAAGGTACAAAGTATAATACTGCAGATTTTATGTGCATAAAAACCCTCAGTGTAATTACTAATGCTGAAATGGGCATTTAAAGGTTTTCTGTGTTAATTCGTGTGAAGCTGTGCCAGGCAGGCAGGCGGGTATCTTACTTATTCCTCTGTCTTCGTGACTGTCTTCATCTCTGTCATCTCGCTCGTTGTCCAGGTTGGACATCCTGACAGACATCTCTGATGAAAGAGAGAGACAGAAAGACATAAGAAAGGCATAAGAGAAGATTAGAAAGATGGAGCAACCCTGAACAGATTTGATGTAATATGTCTTTGTCTTCTCCTTTGGTCCAGAGTCTTTCTCATAAAAAAAGAAGACAGACATCAAATCTCTTCAAATCAATTTTTGCTCACGAATGCCCATCAGACATTAAAAAAACTGAAGAAAGCCAATTCAAGGTAATATAGCATTCAAGTCTATTCATTTCTAGAATGCAGATTCAGACTAAAGTAGACTCTCTCAGACAGTTTATGTAACTACAAAACAGAAAACAGCAGCACTTCTCACAGACTGATTCAGACAGATTTATATTGCATGCAAGTTATGCTTCCTAGTCGTGCACATATAGAGGTTGAATTTAGCTTAGACATGAGGGAGCAACTGCAAGGGAAGAGGGAATTCAGCTCTTTAAATTACTTTTATATCCTTCTAAGGTCCTTTTAGCGGTCAACTGTGTTTTAGTATCTCATTAGCAAGGAGTAGCACACTTTAAATGTGCACTCAATAATTTTTCCCTCATTAAAGTGACTTTTACTTGCTCTTCCTCTGAAACAACTTTCCTTTTCAGGTTGACGTCACCAGACTCTTTGTCAGAGATCACTTGGGCTGCTTGATTATGGCAAAATTCATAATCACAATTATTTTGGTCAAGATTGTTATCACAATTAACTCAATTTGGAGCGAGCGATATCACACATCTTCAGAGTATGTTTTTTTTTCATGATAGAGCTATAGTTATTAAGTATATATGCTGGAAATAAGGCTGCTATGATATCAACATTTAGATACCAGTGAAATTTCACAATTCTTGATATCAATTCTTGATAAACATACATATATATATATATATATATATATATACACACACACACACTCATACAGTGGGTACGGAAAGTATTCAGACCCCCTTAAATTTTTCACTCTTTGTTATATTGCAGCCATTTGCTAAAATCATTTAAGTTAATTTTTTTTCCTCATTAATGTACACACAGCACCCCATATTGACAGAAAAACACAGAATTGTTGACATTTTTGCAGATTTATTAAAAAAGAAAAACTGAAATATCACATGATCCTAAGTATTCAGACCCTTTGCTGTGACACTCAAATATTTAACTCAGGTGCTGTCCATTCCTTCTGATCATCCTTGAGATGGTTCTACACATTCATTTGAGTCCAGCTGTGTTTGAGTATACTGATTGGACTTGATTAGGAAAGCCACACACCTGACTATATAAGACCTTACAGACATATACAAATATATATATATATATATATATATAAACATTGAACAGTCTTCACTGTATGAATCATATATAGGCCTACATGGATTCTTATTAAAGCTACTAAAGTTATTCGGTCAAGAGCAGTAAGTGTTTTTTTCTTTGTCTTTTGTTTGATTAACATTAAGAACAGCAGCAGGTATATTAGGCTGCTGTCACTCTAAGACTGAATACACGGCTCTAATATACTGATGCATCCGATTTCTTTTTGTGTTCTGTTTGTTCACTTAAAACATTACTGTGTTTATATGAATACTTGCCAACATGGGCCTTCTGTCATATTTTTGTGAATATTTGACACTTAGGTGCGTATCCGAAGCCCATAGTATACTTTGCTTGTCTGTGTTCCACTCCATCTTGGAAAGCACGTACAGAACAGAACAGAGTTCTTTTTGGCTGCTTAATGCACTTTTAACAACTCTTTTTCAAACGCATCTTGCAGTAGACTGCACATTGTTACAGTCGCATTACAAGATTTTACCGATTTGGACATTAAGTTTGGGATTTTAAGGAGACGCGAAAGCAAACTGCTTTAATGTGAAGGAATGGAATGCAGCACAATAATATTTTTTATCTCAATTATTGTGTTTTCGTAATCTTTGGAAGCCAAAATCAAAACTGAAATTCAATTAATTGCAGAGCCCTAGCATTATTTCCCAACAGTCCCAGGTAAGAATCACTTTCACTTTTAGACTCAAAGTGTCCAGACTCACCCTGTGCGGCCAGCGGGGACATGTGCTGATGCCTGCGACGGTGGATCTGGTGCCTGTAGGCATACACAGCCAACACCAGTACCATGATGCATCCCATAATCCCTCCTGCCACTGGCCCCACGGGCGCACTCTTGATCATGTTCAGCGACGCCAACTCCTCATCTGCACAGAGATGAAGAAATACAAAAATAATTATATAATGAAATGAAATAATGAAATAAAGCATACACACTAGCAAAGATCCGCAAGGCAAAATGTGTGAATCATGGAGTCGGTGTAATTCCAAACTTCTGTGCATATCTTTCTAAAACAGCAAAACTAAACAAAAGAAAGAAGTAAATGACTATTGGACTATTGTGACCAATCGATGCAATTTATCTCCATAAGCTATTATGAACAGAAAAAATATATTAAAAGTGCAATAAGTGTGACTACAGAAGTAGTAGCTCACCTAAAATGCCCAGTCCATCCACATAGGGACTCTTGGCACCCACTATCCCTCCAAAACATTCCTTCTGTAGGGCACAGTAAGGCTTATCCAGATGGGTCTTTCCGTCACTGTCCACCGTACACCACTCACAGTCCAGAACACCAAAACAGTCACTAAAACCCACACAAATAAAACAGAACATACAAAAAGAAATGTTATAGAGATGGCTACAGTAGGTGTACAGTAGAATTTTTTTATGTTCTTGAAAGATATGTATTTTGCTTACCAAGGCTGCATTTATTTGATCACAAATACAGTAACACTGTAAAATATTATTACAATAAAAAAAAAGTGTTCTATTTCAATATATTTTAAAACGTAATTTGTTCCTGTGATGACAGAGATGAATTTTCAGCAGCCATTACTCCTGTCTTCAGTATCACATGATCCTTCAGAAATCATTCTAATGTGCTGATTTGGTGCCCAAAAAAACATTTCTTCTTATCAGCAATGCTGACTATTTTTTTTTTTGGTAGTATTTGTAATATTTTCATGGAAACCATGACACAGGATTGTTTGATGATTAGAAAGTACTATAGAACAGCATTTTATTTAATATAGAATTTTTTTGTAACAATAAATCATCTTTTGTTTCGCCAAAGCACCCCCACGAACAACATGTTTAAACAATATACAGGTGCATCTCAATAAATTAGAATGTCGTGGAAAAGTTCATTTATTTCAGTAATTCAACTCAAATTGTGAAACTCGTGTATTAAATAAATTCAATGCACACAGACTGAAGTAGTTTAAGTCTTTGGTTCTTTTAATTGTGATGATTTTGGCTCACATTTAACAAAAACCCACCAATTAACTATCTCAACAAATTAGAATACTTCAAAAGACCAATAAAAAAAAGCACCTGTACTAAAAATCATATTAGAAAATTGTATAAAATTCTATATTATAAAATGCATATAAAACAGACTATACTTAGTTATAAAAATACCATTTATTACTACAAGTTTTAAGTATGTATATTTAACATCTAGTCACATAAAACACAGTGGTAACACTTCACAATAAGGTTTCATTAGTTAACATTAGTTAATGCATAACAATGCATAACATTAACTCTAAGAATGAGCAATGCATTTGTTACAGTATTCATTTCATCTTTGTTAGCGGAAGTTATTAAACATACAACTGTTCAGTGTTAGTTCATATCAGTTCAGGTCCATTAAATAATATTAACAGATACAACTTCGGATTTTAATAATTTTGAAATACCATTAACTAAGATTAATAAATGCCTTAGAAGTATTTTTCATTGCTAGTTCATATAGTTAACTGATGTTACCAACACAGATTTGGTTCTTTGAGTCTGTGGTGAACAAAAGTGTGTGATAACTCGTGAGCTATTTGTGAGTCTTTGATTTCGACAGTCCCTGATAACTGATAAGCTGACATTGTATGATCTTGAGAAACACACATGTTTGTTGTTGTGGTGGTCAGCACAGGTTGTAAATAAGTGATGTGAAATTAGATGTGTTAAGTGAAAGGAGAAACACCATTACTCTCAGAGACTCTGTGTTTCTGTTAAGGTCCTGCTAAGGGCAGACTGATCACAACTGATACAGTATATGGCCGTACCTGCTGGTGAAGCGCTGGCTGCATCTGGTGTTGATACACTGAGGCAGAGTGTCCTGTAGACTAGGCTCAATTACAGTCAAAGACAAAGGCTCCTGGTGCACGTCGCAGCTCGGGTTTCTGCGCACACACACACACACAGTAATAAGGCAAGCTGAGTCAGTTAGGCCCTAAATACAACATGGAACTCATTAAAGTCAAAGCTATTTGTAATTACTAACAGTCTGGCAACAATGTTGTTCTGTAGATCAATGACATTCAACAGACAACAAATCAACAATTATTATTGCTACACAATGAATACCAAGCCTTTTTTACTACAGCTCTCTGTAGTAAAGGATACATTTATTAGCATTCAGTGTAGTGTACAGATAGTGTAGAGTTTTTCATTAAAATGAACAGATGGCACAGTGACAAAGGCCTTGAGATCTCTCAGCTGGGAATAATGCAACAAACCTGAAAGTGTCTAAATGTCTACTGAGGAACAATCCTGAACTGACGGCTAATTGAGGACACAGGTGGCTGGATATCTATTCATCGTGACAAACAAGAACTTGATGAAGTGACAGGCAGAAGTGTGTGTGTGTGTGTGTGTGTGAGACTAAGTGTGATTCATTCCAGTGCATTCTGATGAGAATCTGGACATGTGGTCCAGTGATTAATTTCTGGATCATATATTGCGGCAGTCTATTCTCCAAGCTCTTAAGGGGTAACCTTTGCATCCCAACACATTGTGTACAACATGTAATATGTTTTAAAATGGGCTCAATGTCTTCTACATGTCCCTCAATAAATAATGCAAGACTGTAAACAGCAGTGGTTTACCTGTTCTCAGCGTTGGTGAGGTTGCCAGTACATTCATTCACCTCTAGAGGGCATTCACAGGGGCACTCACATTCATTCTGCTCCATTCTGGGGAAGATGGAAATACATTGAAAATGTCTGTTTGCAGGCCTTTTAACCTGGAACTATCAACTTCACTATTATTTATATGAATGGACTTAAAGTTTGAGATTTCTGGCTATGACTTTTGCTAGTGCAGTCTTATAAATTGATTTTAAAAAATAGCTTTAGCAGAAAAATGCCTTTTAAATTTACAATCTTCACATTTGGACAAGTTCATAATTGTGAGTTACGACTAAAGCCTATTGGCATTTTAAATAAATACATGCATACATAAATAGGGATGAGCCCTTAATGTGTCCCGTTAAAACTCTTTCCAGGAAATACATTAACATAGGATAGACAACTCAAACCGTTTCAAGGGGTCCTTAAATATGAGAATGGGAGAATTAAAGTATTGATAGGCACTTAACTGTACTTAAATATTTTTGTATTTAATTTAATTTAATATTGGCTATTACATTTCTATCACAAAACTTCTTTTATTTTCATTATGAACCCTTGTGATTAAAATCCCTAACCCTAACTAACTAAATAAATGCTTTTCAAAGGTTTTGGGTCAGTCAGATGTTTTTTTGTTTTTTTTTATAAATTAATGGTTTTATTTAGCAAGGATGCAGTACATTTAACAAAAATAACTTCTGAACCTTCTATTCTACAAATTTTTTTTTTTTAAATCATGAAAAAAAAAATCAGTTTCCACAAAAATATTAAGCACCATAACATTGATAATAAAAAGAAAAGTATCTTGAGCACCTAATCAGCATATTAGAATGATTTCTGAAGGATCATGTGACACTGAAGGCTGGAGTAATGTCTAATTCAGCATTGCCATCATATGTATAAATGACTTTTTGAATATAAAGGCCTGGTTTCACAGACAGGGCTTAGGTTAAGCCAGGATTAGGCCATAGTTTAATTAGGACATTTAAGTATCTTTTATAAATGTGCCTTAGAAAATAACATTACTCGTGTGCATCTTGAGACAAAACAATGGCACTGACATATTTTAAGAGATGTCAGTGCAAGTTTCTTTCAGGTAAAAGCCCAGATGTGCATTTTAATCTGGGACTAGGCTTAAGCCTTGTCTGTGAAACCGGGTGAAAATATTTTAAAATAGAAAAAAACAACAAAAAAAGTATAGTAAAAAATAATTCACAATACTTCTGTTTTTTGTAGGTTTTTTAAATAATTTTTTTTATAGTTTAAAAAAAAAAAAAAAAAGACATTTAAAGACCTTACCAACCCCTAACTTTTGAACAGTTGTGTAAATAAATTAATATAGCTATGCCTTAATATTTACATAAATGAATAGACCGCGAATACAGAATGTTATTAGTAGAGTTGTGCAGAGAGTACACATTACCTGTGGCAGTTAAGACAGAGACGATCCACAGTACTGCAAGCACAGAAGGCCAGTGAATCACAGGTCTCATTCACAATACCAGCAAACGCATTGGTTCCTGGGATACGAGTGAGCCGGTACTTTGAGCAGTGACTGCCATGCACAAGGTTTGTCAGATCACCCTGAAAAATGACAAGACACAGTTAGCCATAAACAATCATTTGATTTCATAACAGTCTTTCCACAACAGCTGGTTATACTAGAAAGCACATCTGCTATTACCACTATTAAAATAAACTCCACTAGGTGGCATCCTAACATCATTAATACATGATGCTGACTAACCAAACATGGTAAAAAAATGCAGGATTATCACTTCAAACAGAATTCAGTTTTCTGATATGAAATAATTCATATGAGACTCCACTCACCACAATGCTGGTGTTGAACTTGTAGAAGCGCTGCACAGTACGATCACTGAAACTATTACACAGGTTCTTCTTCACAAAGTTGGGATGGTTGAGAATGTCATTGGCCACTAGAGGCTCCTAAAGTCAAGCAAAACAGGAGAAAACGATGAACTCAATAAGCTTGTTTTTCAGTTTCATTACCAATCTTTTAATATAATATGGCTAAAGAATATAAACAGGCCCCTTTTTCTAAGGACAAAAGCATAAAAATGCCTAGTTTCTTGTTCAACAGAGGTAAAGTTCCTTACCTTATGAGTAATATGTTGCTGTTCTGCTGGAGCGTGGCCCTTCGGGTCAATCAGAGTCGGATGGGCCACCAGATAGCCTCTGTCCTCCATGATAAAACACCTACACATACATAAAGACCAAGACAAACAGGATCAAGCACTCTGAGCCTGTACAAAGATCCAAAATGACATTTAGAGGGGAAAGGTGGAAGCAAACAGTAGATGGCTTCCTGTATGTTCACAGGGTACCATCTGCAGTTCAGAACAGTTCAGGTTATTGTGTGGCACACTGAAGCATTCCACGTCACTAATCCTGTTTAATGACCATAGCACTGCAAACTCAAAGAACACTGAGGCCTCCACAGCACAGACAGATAAAGAGACAGAGAGAGCGTGAAGAGGGACAAAGAAAGAGACAAACTGGTAGAAATAGAGTTAAGAAGAAAGAAAAAGAGAGGAATGACAGGGAAGGGTAAAAGAGAGGCAGAAAAGAAGGGAGTGAGGGAAAAATGGGGGCACTGGCACCTAACATAACAGGATGTGTCTGGAATGCAGCCCTAATCAGCTTATCTTCCTTTGTGTCTTTCAGTCAGTCCTGAAAATCGTTTCTTCCCTGGCATTTATAGATTGCATCAGTAGGGTTTATTTGTGCTGCTTGCAAAGGCAAGCATTACTACTGCTTATTCTTGAGGATGTTGTGCTACAGACATGCATGATACAGCAAATTGCATGGCTTATTGAGGAGAAGTGTGCTATTACTATTCTAAACAAAGTTACAAATTTCACACTAGGGGCTTAGTGACTACTAGTTACTGGACTATTTAGTGACTACAAATTTAGATTTCTATTTATATATGATACAAAAATAAGCATGGAAATCCATTATACTTGTTATAGTCTAAATCAGTGGCTATCTACCTTTTTGATTGCAAGACTCCAACTGTCCCCAACAGAATTTAATTTACAAAAATTAGGTGTATCTATAGATTAAAAAAGTAACTAAATTATAATTACAATAATAAAAATGAATGAAAATAAAATTACATTGTGTATTTCCAAAAGTTTTATTTATTTTGTAATTATTTTTGTTGATTTTTAGTTGTTTTATATTCAGGAACCGCATCTAAAATTAGAAGGGGAAATAAATATTAATGGAACAAACTGGAAAATTTGTTTTCATTTAGATTTTTTGTTGAACCCTGGCATGAACGCAAACTGTGCTTAAAAGCTTAAGAAGTTGTTTATGTTGTAGTATCATCAGAAGTTGTTTATCATGATGTAATCCTTCTGCCATTTTTTTCCAACCATTCTTCCTGGTCAGAGGTTCCCATAAATATATGTTTACACACAGTTTAATGGGGTTATGCTCAAATATTTTAGTAGTGTATAAAATTGTAACTTTGTGCTCATTTACTCTACAAGGCTAAAAAATAACATTAGGCTTGTGACTTCAGCTTAAGCTGGTTCTCTGAATATCATAAGCAACCACCTAGTGATTAGAAAATCTTGACAACTGCCACAACACCCTAGTATCATTGCAGTGACTTTTGCAGAGGCAAGCGCCACTCAATTTTAATTTATTTTTTGAAAAATTAATAAATAAATAAATAAATAAATAAAATACGTTTTCCAGTCTTTATACTTTTCCCTTCTCATCTCTCCTCTCTCTCTACGTCCAGCCCTCCCTCACTGTTTCTTGATCCCCACCTCAGATCGTTCTCATTCTATCTCCTATCCTAAAAGAGGGAGCTTAGAAGCATGCAGAGAAGACTAAGTGAATGCCTCTTTTCCAACAGAAGCAAATCTGATTAGTTTCATTTGAAAGAGCTTTAAAGAGCCTCTGTGGGGCATCGATAGCTTCAGGCACTATGCTGGACACCACAGCCGGCACACTGGGGTCTTGGCAAACACTAGAGAGTTTGAGAAGAAATGAGATGGGGGTTGTGTTTGGTGGGAAGGCCTTACCGGATTTTGTTGCCCTTGTCCTGGTTACAGATGGGCAGAAGATCCAACAGAACTTTGTAGAAGTAGCGCAGAGTGAAGTCAATGCCCATAACCGCTACTGTGTAACCGGAGGCCTTTTGGGAACTGGGAAAGGAGGCAGTTAAGTGTTAAACAATATGAAGAATGAGGAGATCTACAGTGTGATGGGTCACCGCAATGGAGCTTTAGATCAGATCGCACACTCCATAGTCACATTTCCTCCTCTTAAGAGAGAACTGATTGGAAAACGTGGAGGACAAACACTCTTTATCTACACCAGACATTTTGGAACACTGCCAGTTTCAAACAGCTTCATCATACTATATAGTAAGGTGCTTTTTATTCATTTTAGGAGCTTGACAGTGTAAAGCATTGGCCATTTCATCAGAGAAAAGAAAACATCTTGAGAGTGAGTAATATTTTCATGTTATGGTTGACCTATTTATTTAATACTCTATATTTAAGTTATTTATATTATTGTTTTTAAAGACTGATCCATACAAGCATAAAAAAACAGTGTCTGACTGAGCAAAAATAAATTAATATCCACACTATAAAAGCTTTAACGCATAGCAAATGATGTGTCTAAACCAGCTTTTTGACTCCCGTGTCTCCACTATTCTTACATAATTATGACACAACTGCTTGTTTTAAATATTTTCTTATTAACAGAAACAGGGAGTATACAGATACATATACAGATATATATATATATATATATATATATATATAAAATTAATTAACCACAATACATTTTGTGATTCCAGAACTGTTTTTCAATAAAAACTAAAGATATTCAGAGGGGAAAGACCTCTAGATTTTTAAAAAACATTTTCATTAAGTGTTAGAACATTTCTAATATATTAATAATAATTTATTACTTTAATTATCCTGTGGAAGCTTGCTGAGGCCCCCTGGTTGAGATCCAGTAGGTTTGAATGTGAAATGTGACCCTTAAACAACTGACCTAGAGGCGTGGATAGTGTGGCTAATGGTGACCACATAACCCGCCCCACCAACATCCAGGTAGGGTCCAGTAAAAGTGATGAGACCAGGATTGGCTACAGCATGTAGGTACCTAAAAGACAAAAGGATCACTAATTAGACTACATTTTAAACAAAAATTTACAAATTGATCAAAGCTTGTTTTGTTTTTTTCCCATACAATCTTAAAAACAAAATGTATAAAAAAAAAACATGCTTTCTTTGCAGTGTGTGCGGCTGCATATGGACACAAAAGACCTTCTTGGGAATCTGACAGTTTGCTAAGCTTAGTTAACAGACTGTGGGATCTGTTGACCAGTGTCCCACTAGGAGTTTGAAGACCTCCGTCCTGAGGCTCAAATCTTACCATTGCCTCCTGTTGGGATCGAAGGCTTTGTCCATGAGCGAACCGGGGTAAATCCGCAGCACCCCATTGGGCGTTGCTATGTAACGCCTCACAATGTAGCAGTTGAGGCTGCTCATCTCCATAAGACTCATCCATTCATCTGTCACGTGACTGGTGGCCATCACCTCATTTCTCACAGAAGACTGGAAGACCAAAGGAGGGGGGTGTTAAAGAATTCTACTAAGCAGAGAATCATAAAGACTGGTGCACAGCATTTCCCTAATGAAAAAGAAGAATTAAAGAGGACAGGAAGACTGCCAACTAACAACTGCCAGTTAGGACTGAGAAACTATCCATGTGACCACTAACTGTGAAAGATTGAGCCATTCCCAGGTTGGCTATGAGACATGTGTTGCTGAGATGTGCAGTAAGTGTGTGTTTGTGTGTACCTTCAGGCCTGGGTTGGCTATGAGCCGGGTGTTGTCACTCAGGTAAGCTGTGTAGTGCTCCACCATGCGCTTGGTCTCTGGCTGACTCAAGTGCTCATATGGAGAGGAGAAACTACCAGCAGACAACATCACTGTGGGACTCTCTGTGAAAAAAAAGAGAGATGATTATATTTAATTCAGTTTAATTCTGCTTAATTATATGAGCCCCTAACCATTATCAATTATCCCTTAGTAACAGTAACTTACAAAAAAGGTACATTGTTCAAAGATTATTTATTTAGGAAAGAAATTAATGTTTATTCAGCAAGGACACATTCAATTGATCCAAAGTGACAGTAAAGACTAACAAAATAAATAAATTATATTCTTTTGAACTTTCTATTAATCAAAGAACCATGAAAAAAGAAACACAAACCTTTTCAACATTTAGAATAGATAAGAAAAATAACTTAAGCGCCAAATCAGCATATTAAAATGATCAGAAGACTGGAGTTATGGCAATTCTGCTGGAAATTCAGCTTGCCAAAGGAATAAATTACATTAAATATATTAAAATAATATTATAATAATATTTAACAATATTACTGTATTTTTGATTAAATAATCACAGCCATGGTGAGCATAACAGACTTCTTTCAAAAAACAAAACAAAAAAAACATTAGTAATACACAGTATATATTGTGTGTGTACATATATATATATATATATATATATATATATAATTTTTAAACACTTATACAATATTTTAAAGCCTTTATTATTTTTTAACTCTGCAGTTGTGCAGTAAAATTCACTTTAAAGATTAACTTTTCATTCATGAAGATGACATGAAAAAATTTGCCAAAAAATTGTCTCCTGGTGGAAAACAAAGACTTTTAAGATGAAAATGACATGAAATTATCATTATAATAGCAGAGGATCACTCATTAGCTCAGCTGCCATTTCCACTCCATAGTTTTTTTTCTCCACGTCTTGCTTTTGCATTTATTAAAAAAATCACTATTATAACCAATTTTTGTACTTTTACTGTACTGACGTATGAAGTATAGCAAGTGCAGGAAGTCACAAAGTGTGATGTCATTTAAAACAATAAATAAATAAAATAATAAGCCCAGACACCAACATCCTAGAAGGGTTAATTATTTAAATACTTAACTAGTTAACTACAAGTTAATGATTAATGGTATAATAATTAAATAATAATGCATTAAATATTCTGAAATATTTTTATATTAAATTTAAAAACTACATTTTAAAAATATTGCCTTAGAAAGAGTACTTAAAGTTTTATCTTTAACTGTAGAAGCTGCTAAATAAATTCAGGCAACACAGACTTGTTGCTGCTGTAGTTTTGTTACTCTGAATTTACTCTGCATCACTTAATGCACAGCTCTATTTCTAGCGTGTAGAACTCTGTAAACTTGCAAAAACAAAAATTAGTTCATTGGATTCTGACTAACCTACAGTAAACAACTCTGATTGGCCACTGCTTTCAACAGAGATGCCTGTGATTGGCTAGAATACTCAACGCTGCAAAAACGTTGTAAATAGAAACTTTTGGTTTTGTAATACGAAACCAGAGCGTGCACAAAAAAACCCACACAGGAGCGTTTGAAAGCAGTTGACTTCGAGCAGGTACAGATTTGAGTTGGTACTACTGGTACAGTAAAACATTTATTTGGGCTTTGTTGGTAAAAATTCACTTGTTGAGCAAGAATACAAAAAACCTTTTGATATTTGATTTATGAAAAAAGAAATATCTTAAAAAAATGTCTCACTCCATTTTCAGAGAAACATGAGCTCTGCATGGTAAGTCCTAACAACATATGAGAATAGCATGTACTTTTTTTTTTTTACAAGATGTAAAGATTATATTAATGTTTCGCCTGAGCTTACCGACTGTAGCGAGCTGTTTAAAGTGGAGGCAGGAGCTGGGCTGCCCCAGCAGATCCAGGCGGTGGTACAGGAGTTTGCTGCTAGGGGCCGTGTTCATATTTTTCAGTTGCTTCACCGGGATCTCCGGCTGAACGTAAACTATACACAAGATAAACGAAGTGTCCTGAACCTGCAAATCAGAGATCAAGATAAGTAAAATGAGTAAAAATACAAAAAAAAGAATAAATAAAATAACAGCCAGACAGACATAGAATGGTGATTCTACACAGTCTGGTTTTCCCTCAGCCTGCACTAAACCAATGCTTGTTCCACTGTGGAGGAATAGCTTACCAATTTCCAAGCGTAGCTGACATTGTAGGCATCTCGACTGGGATCACGTAGGCGGTTCATGTGCCAAGACAGAGAAGAGTTGACAGGCACAGCAATGACCTGGCTCCCCAGAGGCAGACTAACAAGAAACACACAACATGAGCTTAGCAATCATGTGAGTAACACAGTAAACTCTAGCAACTGCAGATACCCAGGTCTTTTTGACATCCCATACACCCTCACCTGAGGATGTTTTGACGAACAGCAGCAAACCCCGGGATGTTCTCATAGTGGATGATGTCTGTATGGAGGGGAGCTTCAGTCATCAGGTAAGGACGGGTGAGTGACGGATGCATGAGGGTGTAGCCTGAAAGATATTCAAAAATTAAATTAAATTAAATTAAATTAAAAAATGAAAAAAACTAATAAACTTAAACTTTAAATTAAACAAAGTTTTTTGTGTGTGTGTGGGGGGGTGGGGGGTTGGGGGGACATTATGGCCATTTTCCATCCTTTCTCTGACCATTAGAATTTACTAAATGAATATTAAATAATTATTTGTATCAGTCAAGATTTTCAACTACTAGGTTAAACACAAAAACTGTGGCCTGCACAACACAGGGAGAGACTTCCTTTTAAAAAGAACTGAGAGGCAGTGCTATCACAATTCTTTACTGAACAGCTGGAGACAGCAGGTGCCACTTCATTATCCCAGTCATTAGGATAGACTGTATACTCTCAGGAACAGATAATCACCCTCATTTTATTACATATGTAATACAACACACCCTTTTAGTGCAAAGCGGCAATTTCTAGTGGGCTTATCAAATTGTTTTAATATGTACTAAGTGGAGGTTAACAGCGTTGTGAATTCAGAGAAACTTCACCCTGCTGGGGGAAATCATGGAAAAACGAATAGATGTTATTTAGAGCAGGATGAGGTAAGAATAAATGAAAGTGTGTCAAAATAAGGCCAACAAAGCTTAATTTCATTCTTTGGTGGACAATATTTGCACAAGAAGACAGTGCTTCTACTGCTCCTTTTCAAGGAAATAACTAATTTTAAGTCTTTTCTCCCTAAAAAGTTCAAATCCAAAGAGTTTTGCAGTTCCCACTTCAAGAAACTGGCATGATGTCAGCCATGGATCTGGCTCTGAGCCATCCAATCTGGGACAGCTGAGGTTAATGGCCTTCAGTGCAGTGTTTTGAGTCATTTATGGTGAAGTTAGAAAGTCAAGCTGAAGTGAGGCAAACAGAGAAATATATAAAACAAGTTTGGCTCATTTTGGCTAATGGAACCAGGTAGTTCTCCACCAAAAACAATCACCAGCACATGCATCTCCCTACCTTTATTGTCTATGAGGAATGTATATGAGGCCAGGGAGTCCTGGTAGTAGGTCACGTCCTCCAGTATGTATGCCAGATTCACATCCACTCCAACTACACCCAGCAACAAGTTCCCAAAGTAGCATGGCCGGCTGACGGTCATGATGAAACCTACAAACAGAAAAACAGAAGAAGTTCCTTTGATTCTGTCGCCATACTAATATGTCAACCTATGTAAACAGTAATTCATGAAGAAATATTATTAACTGTGAGGTACAAGCCATGGCCAAAAGGCCAGTGATACTTCAAAACAACAATAAACAATTTCCAAGTTTCAAATAGATATGCGTTTCTTGGGTATTAACTTTGGCCACTTTCTCGGTCACAGTGGTTGATTTTTTATTTAAAAAAAAAAGTAAAAATTCCTTGACAACATCAATTGTTCTTTAAATATATCTTTAAATGATAAATTTTCTTTTTTTTTTTTTACCCTTGTCCCAGACTATTTAAGCTAAAAATAAAAATAAATGGAAAAAATTTATCAATTTATCAAATCAAATTATGACTGTTCCTTAAAAAAAATTTAAAAATTCCTTGACAACATCAATTGTTCTTTAAATATATCTTTAAATGATAAATTTTCTTTTTTTTTTTTACCCTTGTCCCAGACTATTTAAGCTAAAAATAAAAATAAATGGAAAAAATTTATCAATTTATCAAATCAAATTATGACTGTTCCTTCATTTCTTTCAGGCATCATTTCCATCACAGCCAAATAAAGTTTTATCAAAATTTAAAAAATTAAACATGAGACATTTTTATGAAGCAATAAAAATCAAGGTAAATATCACCTGTGCATCATTTCCAATCAAGCTATAATTTCACCAGAATGACTTCCTGTCTAGCAGCCCCATAAGAGCAGACTCTGCATTTGTGATTTTTGGCTTTACTTATAGTTTAAGTTTACAGTATATAGCACCATGGAAACTTTCTGGTTCAGAGCCACTTCTTCTGAGGTCTTCTGAGTGCATATGGTTTGTCAGAGGGAATGTTAATGTGCCAGACTTGAGCTTTATGCCAAGTTCAAGATCTAAACTTACCGTCTCCCATCTGGTCCGCATAAGGCAAGCTGAAGGAGGCCACGTCGATCATTCGATTGGGGAGGTTGATGTAGAAGCGGCCCACGGTGGTCTCCAGGTTACTGAGCTGGTTCAAAACCATCATACTGCCCTTCACGACGGGCAGGGCAGAACGATCCGGAACGCCATACTTAAGAGAGTTCTGCTCGGCCAGGTCTCGCAAGAAGGCCAGCTCCTTGAGTCCCGTTACTCCTTCTGAGGACAATTGTACAAAAATTAAAATGGACATTTCTACTCAATATCTCTGTGCTATGTGTCTCCTGTGCACTCTCTTAGTTTTGGAACAAAAATCAAATTCAATCTACCTATTTATCAAAATTTTCACAGATATTGTGGGCATTTTGTAAAGGTTTTGCTTCTCTGGCCCATTTAGAGTGCAGCACAGTAATAGAAAGCCATTCATATCCCACATGGAATACTTAACCGCAGAGCTAAAAATCACACAATCTATTTCCATCATGAAATGGTGGTTTTGGACCTTTAACAAAAGAATAGGAGGCTTTCATTTTTGGAGGAACATTCAATTCTGTTGAACTGTTCATTGGACTGGACATAAATTTCAACACTTGAGTCTATTAATCTGATACTGTGACAGGTTTTAATATGTGAATATAATACAACTTGTCATAAATGAACCAGACTTCAAATAAACAAGGAAATAGGAGTAATTCCCTGTGTGTGTGTCCTTCAGAGACTCACAATACCTAGTCAAAGTAGCGTAACCTGCATTGCCAAGCTAATCAATCTGAATCATATCTCTGAGTTATCTAATGCATGAAAAAAGGCCTTTCTCACTCTTTCATGTCACTGAGTGGCCTTTGATGTATTTTCGCATTTCTCTTTCTTCTTTTCAATGATCTCCATTTTAATTTTCATGATGCCAAAGTAATGTATGCTAATTGCAGGCTAATACATGTGGAAAGAGAGGAACAGCTGAGGAGAGCAATATAATGGAGAGTGGTTTCTTACAGTAGACGCGCACACACAAAACCAGAAGAAGGATGAAGGGGCGTCAAAACAGTTGAGCATATTTTGAAAAAGCACAAACATGCACAAAGGTGTTCACCATGAGGCCTCGTTGGCTACGAGACAAAGAGCCAATAAAAAAGCTGCACTCCTTGGCGATATCTCACCGTTCATGAGAGCGTAGGTGAGGATCATGACAGAGTTGTTGAGGTGGCGGTTCTCCTCTTTGACCACGCTCAGGGTTGCTCTCTTTTCGTGCTCGGATGAGTCTCGGGAGGTGACGCCTGATGACAGGTAGATTATCACCATGTCCGTGTCTGTGGGAGGGAAGATGATCAATAATCAATCATACTGAATATAATAACTGACCTCGTGGCAACCTGAGACCATAAACACCTAGATACGGTGTATAATACATGACATCTTGCCCCAATAAAAATGTGACAACGTCTGTGTGGTAACAATTCAGCCTTTCTGTTAAAATCTACCTTCATTATAGTTGACTCTTATCTGACTGTATGCTAGTGTGGTTTATTGTGTGCATTTCAATACGATCATAGAGAATTTTTGGTAATGCTTTACTTAAAGCCCTTCTGTACAATGCATTATAAAGTTATTCACAATGCATGTTATAATGCATTATATATTTTCATAAATAACTGTAACCAAAGTTAAAATGCATTATACTATTCTAAAATTGGTTGTTTGTCATGTGTAATGCATTAAACTTTCTAAAAGAGTGTTCAATGAATAGATAAGTATTATAATGTATTATAACTATGGTTACAAGGCATAATTACTGCATTAAAATTACTTTTATAATGCATTATACATAAAGGCTTTAAGTAAAGTATTACAGAATTTTCAGAAAGGACTTTTTTTAAATACAATATTTAAAATCTCTTTTAGAGAAAAAAAAATCATTTGTTTAATTGAACTGTTAACTGAAAACCCTGTAGTTACTGGTCACAACCATTCAGTTAAAGTGTATTCAAATATATATATATATATTATAATTAAACATTAAAGAACACTTTAAGTGTATTCAAATATATATATATATATATTATAATTAAACATTAAAGAACACTTTTGTTAACACTAAACAAAAAATACATAATAAAGGTAGGAAATGACACGGTGTTAGCAAATCTAATGTACATAAGCTTTGTCTCTTACTAGTCGGCTGTCTAGTGACGTTGCTTGTGTTCCTCAACAACTGAAAGGCTTTCTGGAAGCCCAGTGCATGCTGGGTAGAGCTGTCAGACACTTTAATGTTGTTGATGAAGGTGCTCATCTTCCTCTTTGTCTCGCTGGTAGCAGGTGAGAGGAAGCTCTTGTAGCACTGATCCAGAGAGCAGGAACGAACAGTATCTGCTATGGTCAACACTGAGATCTGAGGGGGGAAAAAAAGGATGTTGAGTGCCAAAAGAACAAATGCAATCAGTGGATGGTGTATGTTGATGACGATGATGTCACTTCCTTACTTTATCATGTTCATCGATGGAGTTGAGGATGATTAGCGCAGCGTCGCGGGCGATCTGGAGTTGGGTCTCAGTGACTGAGGCACCATGGTCTATGATCACTACAATATGTTTCGACTGCGGCCTTACTGCCGAAACATACACAGGCCTGCCAACACACAGAAATAAAGATTTACGATCTACTTATTTGCAGAACACAAGAACACAGCAGAACGACTTTTCCTGGACTCTGACGGCAAGAAGCCAAGTGTAGTCCTGGCGTGGTTCCCGCTCTCTTCACTACAGTGCTTGTGCAAGAGATCCTGCACTCTATTGTGTTGTTTTTGGAAACCCTTTTCAACTCCAACACTATGAAAAAGCTGTCCATAATGCCTAAATCTCGTATATACATCAGGCTGAAAACCTGAGTACCGGGGTTTCTTGTGCAATCTCAAACAGGAGGAGAGAAGTTGTGGGAACACCATCAGAAATGAGCCCATCTTTCAGCACAGGCACACATTGCCCACAACACTGTGTGGCAGATTCCAGTAGGGTTTAGTAGAGGCGACCCTGCATTCCAGTAAAGGGCATGAGGCCTATTGTAACTACATTAAACAGACCAGCCACACAAGACGCTAAATTCTGAGGAGCCCATGACAGTGTGAGGGCGATTAACTTAGTTTTTGTGCAAAAACAGAAAATAACCTTTAGTTGGTCTCTAGCTAAAAGATGGGGACAGAGAAAAGAGACAAATCCGTTAATTAAAAATACTACTATAAAGACAAAAACAGCAAGAGTATTTGACTTTTTTTTTTAACACAAATAAGTACTTGGCTAAAATTTCTAAAGATTTCTAAATAGAATCAATCTAAACAGCTTCTTTTAAAAAGGCAGTGTTGGAAAAATATATACTTAGATGGTGTGCACGAATGTGTTTGAATTTTATTAAAACAGGAAAGTTAAAAAAAATAGAAAGTCTCATTACCAAGCATGCCTTAAAGACAGTGATAACCATGGGATTCAATAACTTGCTGTAGGGTATATCAGTGTTCAGAGTGAAAACTTAAAGGACAGTGTGTGTGTGTGTGTGTGTGTGTGTGTGTGTGTGTGAGAGGTATTACTCTGTGGTCTCATCTTAAAAATAAATAAATAAAATAAATAATTAATAAAGAAATAAAATAAATACATAAAAGATGAAAAACAAACATAAATAAGTAAACAAATAAGCAAGTAAATAAATAAGTAAACAAAGTTGACTTTGTTATCCATGTCAATCTCTATCACTACTTGTCAAGTCATATATTATCATTAAAGTCTAAAGCATTCTTTCATAGAAACATTAGTATCTAAATGTCACAAACTCTCTAAGACAATCACCCAGAACTAATTTAATATGCCATGCAGCATGGACCTATTTGAATGGAGTGTGCACTTGAAGCAGGCAGCTGTAGGGTTCGTGTCAGTTGAACAGGCCCCAGCTGTGTGACGGCCGGAGCCCAGACAAGCTGATCCTTTCCAAACACTCGAGAAGCACAGCGATCACCACTCTGCTGCCATCAATTCAAGCGTTTATTTACTTAACAGGAGCCGGGAAGTGAAGGAAAGTGGGGAAAAGAACAAGAAAAGACAGGAAAATAAGGAATACAACTGAGAGAGAGGCAGTGGAAGTATTCAGGAGGGCATACGTCTATAAGTATGATCCTTTTCAGAAATGTATTTTAGTAATATTACATGAACCTTTTACACCCAAAGTTAAAAAAAGAACAGAAAATAAAAACGATTTTAAGTCACAGAAAGAGAAAGAATGTGTGCTACAAGAGGTTACTCGGGTCAATTAAATGTGATTCACCCATTCCACTTAAACATGCCGACATCTTTAAGTGGTTTGAGTGATTCAAAATGTAAACTCAAACAATACAAGGCCAATATTATATAATATAATTAAGAATGAAAAAATAATGAAGAAAGAAAAGGTTTATTAAAGAAAACACTAGCTTTAGGTGCCACAGAGACATGGAATAGCCTTTCCTAATTCTGATCAAAATAAACATAGTTCATCAAATTGCTGTGGAAACCTGCAGAAGAAGAAAAATGCATGCTAAGCATGAACAGGCGTCCCAACCACAAATGAGCCTTCAATCCATACCCGAAGTATAAACAGGAACTTTACAGCATGTTGACAGCTTTAAAAAACATGTGCTGCCCCAAGAGTGCTTAATCCCCCATCCAGTGTTTAGAGTAGCTGAGAAGCAGAGTCATGACGTGACACCCCTTCATTCCACTTTAAATCTCCACCGACTTTTATATTTCTTCTCACTTACGGTGCTGTCAATTTCAAGGTTATTATTAACTCCAAAAATCGTTGCATTTGCCTTTTCCTTATGTAAACTCTCTTCCTCATCCAGCCAATGGGAATTGTTGTGTATTTCTCACAGAGACAGTGATAAACCAAAAGTTGCGTCTCAAGTAGGCTGTGAGCCTAAATAGTATGCATAATAATTTGAGTATCCCAAATCGTAGTAAACGGCAATGGATTTTTAAGAAGCGCACATCTGCACATGCTTTTGTGGCTAAAACTGACCACAATCCCTTGTAATCCATCACAAAAGGAGTTTGTGACTGTTGTGCAAGTTCCAATCCCCCATAAAATTTAATCCTCAACCTGATAAAAAAGTAGCATTATTGTGGTATCTTGATCCTAACAAATCAAAAGCGTTTTTCTTAACCAATTACTGCTATGCTAAACTGTTTATCTTACTAATCTAAGGCTAACTGTGAAACTGCACTAACTTGGCTAACTGTGATTTTTTTTTAGGGTTCTTTGATGAATAGAAAGTTCAAAAGAACAGCATTTACTTAAAATAAAAATTTCTTATAACATTATAAATGTCTTTACTATAATTTTTGACCAATTTAATGGATCTTTGCTAAATAAAAGTACAATTTGACCTTAAACATTTGGACAACTATTTATTTTTCTATCAGCAACAAAATAAGTACATACTTTAAGTGCTTATAAAGTTGGGACGCAGCTTTATGACAGTCGGGAGAACGCTTGCAAAACTCTGAGAAATAAACAGATAGAGATGTGAAGAGGAGTAAAGGGTGAAACAAAGGACACCAAAGGGGAGAATGTTGGGGAAATAGGAACCAGCCCTACAAACTAAATCAAAGACATCACATCACACTGTAACACAACACTATCTCTCTCTGTCTCTCATCGCTCTATTCTCAAGGTTTTTCCTCCCTCTTAATTGTTTCGCCCCCCGCTAAACATTTCATCAATGTTTAGACTAACAGGGATCAAATGTGACTGATGACTGCCTGCATGGTTAGCAGGGTCAGTATTCAATGACAAATGGAGGAAGAGTGGTAACATGAACTCCTGATGACTGCCTTACAAAAATAAGCATCTGTATGAAGATGAATTGGGATAATCTGTTCTGGAGCGAAAGCAAGTGTGTGAGGCCAGAAGGAGGGAGAGTCTGAACCAAGGTGGCTGAAGAAAAAAAAAAGGCAACTGTGTTGAACACTAAACCTGAGAATGAACTGTGCTGTTACTGTACACTACAATGTCCTTTCTCTCCCTAAACTAAAGTGCTACCAATCAGTTCATACAGACGGTTAACAAAACAATTCTCCATTTCTTCAGAGTTCCTATGCACCATTAGTGGGCCTATGTAATCCAATTCACAAATGAATGACCATTATAATCTGGTTATTTTAAAGAACTGATCGAAAGGAATCAAGTTATCGTTGGATTCAGACTACCCACATGCTGGATTCATCACAGAGGTTAATTGAATTGAACTGAATTAACTGAATCAGTTAGTATTCTTTTGTCTATATGTAGTTAAAACAACAATAGGGGGCTTTCCCGTTGCAATACACGGATGTATCTGATACGAAGAGGAGGTGTTGACACTGGCTCAGTGTAGAACGTAGGGCTGCACGATTAATCAAAAAAAAAATCATGACTGGGATCGGTATCGGCCGACCGTAATGTTAGTTTTTTTTATTAGTTGTTTTTATTTATTATTGTTAACATTCTATTTCTGTTCAACAGCTTTTAATTTATTCACTTTAAGGGGTCTAAAATAAGTACTTTTTAAGTCCAGCACTTTATTATAACTGAAAGTCCTGTGTAGACGGCACTTTTTTTTTTTTTACTTGAGTGCAATAAATATTTTGGTTGAAAAAATGAGAATCGTGGTCTCACTTCCCCTGGAGAAAAATCGTGATTCACATTTTAGCAAGAATCGTGCAGCCCTAGAAGAAAGTGATAAAAACATGCACTTCCTGATTGGTGGGGTAGCGCAGATATAAAGGGGAAAAGAGCACAGAGGTACAAAGCTGTGGTCACTTAAAAGAGAAGGAATAAAAACAGAGAGATGAGAGGAGAGAAAATAAAGTATTTGCACACGCAAATGAGCAAGGTCACGTATTCAACAGCACTGTTCATTTTTGTCTCACTCAAAAGGCCAAAAAATCTTTGAAGATTTGACGTCAGAAAAGCAATATTGTTCTTTGCAAATGGTTGCCATGGCAGCAGCTGGATAAGTGGAAATTGGCTTTGGGTTTTTGAAGCTTAGTGTTATACACACCAGAGTTGAGGTCTCGTCCTGGGTTGAAAGCTCGGCTATTGACGGTAGCGGAGAGACGATCACAGCTGATGGTCTTCGAAACATTGGCATTAAAATTACCATCAAACCTGAAATCAGAGAGAAGACAAAACATCAATACAGATTATTTTACCTCGGCGATAATTAGAAAGTGACACTGAAGGATATACAGTCCAGCACTTGATTGGTCGAGTGTTCAGTTAGTTCAAGGCCTCAGTCATGAAGAAAAATGAAGCTGAAGTTTTTCTCATTCTATAATAACAGCTTTTACAGTTTTGTGGTAAAACCCCCTGAGGAAGACTGTCGATATCTATTTCTACCAGCTGCACAGCTCTTCTGCTGAAGATGAAAGAGGAAGATGGAGGGATGCAGTCTGAAGGGAGAGAAGGATGACGAAGAGCAGATGGGAGAACCCTTTTGATTTTATTCACAGCATCCAAATCTTTCAGACAGGCATGAGAGGCAAATTTATAGATAAAATATAAATATAAAAAGAAACAGCAAAAAATTGCACAACTGTTCAAGCATTTGGGTTCAGTAAGTTTTTTCCAAATACTTCTTGAAAAATACTTTTATTTAGCAAATATGCATTAAATTGATTAAAAAAAACACTGTAGAGACATTTTTAATGTTACAAATGGCTTTTTCTTTTAAACTCTCTATTCATCACAGAATCCTGAAATAATACCTAACACTGTTTCCACAAAAATATTAAGCATTAAAACATTTTCAGCATTGATAATAATATTTAAAAAGTTTCTTGAGCACCAAATATTAAGAATAATAAATAATAAATAAGAAGTGTTTTCTGAAGAATCATGTGACACTGAAGACTGGAGTAGTGGCTGCTGAAAATTCAGCTTTACCATTACTGTCATAAATCGTACATTTAAAATATATTAAAGCAGAAAATTGTTATTTTAAAGCATAATAATACTTCGAAACATTACTTTTTTTACTGTATTTCTGATCAAATAAATGCTATGGTGAGTATAACAGAATGCTAAACTAATAAAACTTTCCAAAACATTAAAAAACAAAACATACCTGAATGGCAGTGTACATATAAAATATAGAAAAATAGAAAAAATACAAGCATAATACAAGCATGTCTTACTAATATTCCATCGAAATTCAAATCTTCAAGGTAAAGGGTAAATGCGAAATCTATATAAAATTATTTTACTTAGTCTTAATAAAACTAGCCATAACCGTTACTTGTCAAATTGTATGTCAGACCGAAGACCCATTTATTTATTTTATTAATCCAATAATGCATTGCACAAAACACACTGTGGTTGGCAAAAAACTAGTTTATCCACACTGCAAATAAAAAAGCATGTAATGCAGTCTTACTTCCTTTATCTTACATAGTTTTGCTCATGGTTTGCAAATCAGGATGGTATTCGACCCATCCATTTTGGCATTTGCCTAATTTATCAAGATACAGATGAATTTACACTAATATATATATAACTATTCAGAATATGCTGCAAACTAATATTTCATAGCCGCCCATTATGCTGCTGTTTCAGGTCTCTGCCTGCACTAACCGAGCACTGATCTAAGCAGTGTCTCCAGAGATCTTGCACTGCCACACTTGCTTTCATCTCCCTTATGACTCTACAAAAACACTGCTGCACCCACCCACACACACACACACACACACACACATAATCTCTGAAACAAGCTCTAGCCATCATTTCCTCATCATCTGCCAACCGAATGTGTTCTGATGGCAGTTACTGCATACATCTTTATGTTCCTCTTCACACAATCCCCATAATGCACTGCTCTCCCCTAAATGCACCGTATTTGTCCTTTGCCACATGAACTACGTATGTTCTTTTCCATCACCCATTACTAAACTAGTGTCTTTCTCACCATCGGGTTCATTTCTTTCTCCCCATTATCGTCGTCTCACAGAGCCGGAGCGGGGCTGCGGTTTGATTGACAGCTGCTGTGATGTGCAAAGCGCTTTGAACTTCAGACATTTAATTCCCATCAGGCCATAGTCATTAGAATTCTCCTTCAACACACTTTACATGTGGTGGCAAAGCTAATGTGCTAGATAAAAAATACATTTGCAAGCTGCTTTGAATTTTACATCAGAAAAAAGACGGGAGAGCAAGTGAGCAAAAGGGAAAGCGGGGGAAAGAACGAGTGAGAGAGCGAGAAAGGAGGAGAGAAAATATATATTGAATAAAAGCTTGAGACTTATTCCTCCTCTATGTTTGATTTCGGTTCAACATGCAAATTAGGGCCTCTGCAAAAACATTCAGAAAGAATGAGGGGGGGGAAAAAAGGAATGAATGGAAAAACAAGCCCTCAAGGTATCGTTCAGCTTGCATGGTGTGAAAAACAGCATCTGACCTAAAATAACCAAGAACTTAAAACACATCTGCTGTTCACTTCTAATTGCATATTACAATTTCATATTGAAATTATAAGCATACGATTTTAATTACATTATAAATTATCCTAAAATTGAAGCCAACTGTCATGATCTCAACCATTTAAAGGGGTCATATGATGCTTTTTTAAAGATCATTATTTTGTGTATTTGGTGTAACAGAATATGTTGACATGCTTTAATGTTCAAAAAACACATTATTTTTCAAATACTGTACATTATTGTAGGTCCTCTATGCCCCGCCTCTCTCAAACGCTTCGTTTTCTACAAAGTCCCGCCTTCCGACAAGCACAGTCTGCTCTGATTGGCCAGCTAACCCAGTGCATTGTGATTGGCCGAAAACCGCAAGCACTTGTCTGAAATGTAACGCCCCTTACCATAATCCCGAGCTTCATCTTTCAAAATAAATGTAAAAACAGCGCAAAACCACGTTCATATTCGCGCGATTTTTTGCGCAGCTCGTCTGTGAACAACGGCTCTGTGTAGTTAATGCTGCTCAATGTGAAAGCACGCACGTGATGGAGATTTACCGCTGATTACAGAACCGGCTTTACTGATAAGATGCGCGTTAAATATCGCATGCGGTTTATCGTGCAGCCCTAGATCTTATCTATGCACAATCAGCTTGTAACACTCCAAAGAGAAAGGAAAACTTGAAATCGCATCATATGACCCCTTTAAAACGGAAAATTCAAATAAAATGTTAATTTGATTCTGTTGATAATAATTAAGTAATTATAATAAATAATAAATGAAACTGGTCACAGTTACATTCAAAATATGCATTTAAATTGCATTTTAAAAAAGTATGACATGTATATTACCAGGCAAAATATACAAAATAATAATAATAATAATAAATGAAATAAACAAACAACACAGGATTTAAACATATGATGCTGTTTACAACATGCAGACATCAACTTACTATATTTAAATAATAATAATAATAATAATTTATTATTATTATTATTATTATTATTAACACAGAAAAATCTCATGTTTCATTTCCTTCATTAGATTTTATAACCGACACAAGGGGGAATGAACACTTGGCCAAAAATGGCTGATTAAACGACTAAGCCGATATATTGGTCTATCAATAGCAGAAAAATAAACCCTTTAGTCATAAACACCCAAAGTAGTATTTTGTGCTAAAAGTAAAATGGGAAATACATAATGCATATGTGTCAGATGACAATTAAATGTATGATCGGGTATTAGAACGCAGTAATTCTAAATGAATGCTTAATCTGTGTCAGTACACAGTCATTATTATGAGCAGTGAACGCTTTTAGCCTCTTAATATTTAAACTAAGCAAAGTGCTGTCCTAATGTACTGAGATTAACTCCTCATTTAGTGGCACTTCATGTTTGACGGTGACAAGAACAAGTCCCTGTGATTCTATTCCACGGCTAATAGAGTGCTGGCAGATCAGTGACGTCTCGCCACGCGGCGGAGATGAGATGCACGTACCACTGCGGTATCAGCTCTGTCTGTCACACACATACACACACTCACACTCTCACTGCATCTATCAGAATGGACTTCATTAGCACAGCGGCCTCCAAAAGTTAAGAGAGAGGCTCAAGGGGGATTATGGGAAAAGAGGTTCCCTATTTCACCCTGCATGGACTCGGGAAAGCATGCAGTCCGGCAGAGCAGCCTTTAAGACCCCTTTATGGTGACTTAAGCCCATCTTCTCGCTCCCTTTCTGCATCCCTCTCTCTCTCTCGCTCACACAGTCTCTCTCACACTCTATCTTTATTAGCTCAGGCTCAGAGTCTGTCCAAACGGTCTGGCTCCAAAAGGATTGGGAGATACAAACCGGATTAACAGTTAACAGAGAATGAGAAAAGGAGTGAAAGAGGGAGGAAAGGAGATCAGGAGAACGAGAGTTTGCTTGTGGAGGAAGAAACCCTAATCAAGAATAATCACTGTAATCACTGGGAAAACAAAGATCCAAGTGAAATGTTTTTAAAAAGGAATGTGATGTAACGTGATGGTCTAAATTCATTGCCGTAAGAATGAAAAACAAAAACAATCTTTGAATTAATATCTGAAATGTTTTTCTCCAACCACCTGAAAATCTGAATTGATTTACCTTACTGTAACTGTTGTGATATAAATCCTGTTTAAATTTAAGAAACACTGTAAACATCATACATACATACATCATTCATACTTCATGTATTCATATATTTGGTTACACTTTATTTTAAGGTGTCCTTGTTACAGTGTAATTATACATTTAAGTACTGAGTAATATTAATTAACTACATGTACTTACTATATGTTAGGGTTAGGATTAGGGTTTGGCTTAGGGTTATTTGTATGTAATTTTGCATAATTAATTGTTATTATAATAGTAAGTACAGGTAACGTGTAACAAGGACACCTTAAAATTAAGTGTTACCAAACATTTTAATAAAATTATATGTACATACGTTGTAAACATCATAGACTAGAGTGATAAGTTTGGGGTCGGTAAGATTTTTTAAATGATTTTGAAAAAAAAAAACTGTTCACAAAGGCTGCATTTATTTGGTCAAAATGACAGTATAACAGTAATTTAGTGAAATATTATTACAATTTCAATTACTGTTTTCCATTTTAATATATTTTAAAATGTAATTTATCCATTTGATGGCAAAGCTAAAATTTCAACAGCCATTACTCTAGTCTTCAGTCTCACATCATCCTTCAGAAATGATTTGTATATGCCGATTTGGTGCTCATTCTTATTACTATCACTACTATTGCTTAATTTTTTTATTTGAAAACAATGATACAGCTTGTTCAGGATTCACAGATTAATAGAAAGTTCAAAAGTACAGAAACTGGAAATTGGAATATCCTTAAAAGGCTAAAAATGATACTGCATCATAGGCCTGGGCGATAAAACGGTATCGATATTTATATAAATAAATAATATTCGATATAGCGCACGATATAGGCAGGTACTATGAGTGACGCAGACAGCACACACAAACACGAGCACATGCTGTAATGAGTGCTGTGCCTGCCTGTGATGAGGAGATTGTGAATAAAGAATGAATATTAGTCGAATTTGCGTCATGGGGCGCGCGGTCCGGAGCGCTGTATGA